AATGTTGATTCCTTCAGAGACAGTCCACAGGTAAATACCATTTAATTTATTTTTTTTCATCCCCTGAGAGAGACGACACTCAACATATATTTACTTTACTTTTTTCTCTAGGATTTTAACAAATAAATTGCTATTCCATCTTTTTCAGAGTGACGTGCCAAATGAAATCATGTCAATTCCTAACCATTGCTCGAGCATGCGCAGGGAGGATAATCAGGATTATGTTACAGAAAAGGCTCGTTGTGCAGAAAAGGTATCTTTATAATTGACATTGACGAAAGAATTGTAAATTTGTTTTCAAAACTCTTTTATTAGATATAACTGTCTTTTCATAAACACATTCATTTTTTTCCCCTTTTATTTAAAACAGTTTTGATTTTTTTCTTCAGGAATTCATTCCAACAAAGAGAAGAGGCCTCAAAACTCGCATTTTAAAGTTTTTTGGACTTAAATGAAATGATATGAATATGAGAGATTTCTAGTCATTTTTTTATTTGTTTTAGAGTTGGAACTTGATCTGTGAAATATTTTGATATATTTAGAATTGAAATATCACAAATAGAATATATATCGAAAATTTTGTTTGTTGTTGTTTTTATCGTAAGAGAATCAGTCACCAAAGTCTGTTGGAGATGAGTTATTAGATCTATTTAATTATATTATACTATAGGCATGTAAGTAAAATCGCAAAAAGATGTTTGAATTCCCAATATTATGAATTTAGAGAAGAAATATATACTCTATCTACTTGTCCAGCAAAATTAACTGCATATCTCCGCGGCAACAACATAAAGAATTTTTACAGAGTTTCCAGATAGTTTCCTTTCGAATTTTATTAAATAAATAATATTTTTTATATGATTAATTATTTATTATATTTTAAATAAATTATATTTGAAAAGTAGTATACTGAAGAGGAAGAAATTCCTCAGTGGTCTTCTACTACTTATTGATTTTGAAAAAGCCTTTGATACTGTTTCATGGAATTTTATACATAAGACCTTAACTTATTTCAAGTTTGGACCTGACATTCACAAATGGATAAAATTATTTTATCATTACATTACTTCAGCTACTAATCAAGGTGGCAATCTCTCAGCATTCCTTCAATATCCAAAGAGGCTGTAGACAAGGTGATCCTTTATCACCGTATATTTTTCTACTTTGTGCAGAAATTCTAGCTATACAAATAAGAGAAAATAAAAGGATTAAAGGAATTACTGTATGTAATAATGAAAAGAAAATTTCGCAACTAGCTGATGATCCCTCAATTATCCTTGATTGTAACAAGGAATCACTTTCAGAAACAATTAAAGTATTACAACATTTCTCTGAAATATCTGGACTAAGAGTTAATTTTTCGAAAACTAATACAGTATGGATTGGATCCAAAAAATACCATCAAGATATATCCTTTCTAGAGATTTTAATCTGAAGTGGGGGACTAACAAATTCACATTACTTGGAATTTATTTTGATGTAGAACTTATGTAAAAATTACTGTTATCAACACTTTGGTTTTGCCTCCTTTAAGTCATATTTTTATGGCAATTCCAGATGACAACTTTTATAAAGAATGGATAAACTGTTCTTTTCCTTCTTGTGGAACCACTCTCAACATAGAATAAAAAAGGATGTAATTGTTAAAAAAATATCAAGCTGGGGGATAAAAGATGATAAATGTAAAGACTTTTATATCTTCTTTAAAATTATTTTGGATGAGAAAACTTTTATTGTCAAATAGAGGCCTGCATGATTTTATACCAAATCTAGATCTAAATAAAGTTACAACGTGCGGAAGTGAATATATCAAAAATATAAAGAAATCACTGAAAAACAAATTCTGGGTTGATGTATTTGATTCATGGATTGAGCTACATCATAAACAAAACCCAACTACAGTAACAGCAAACACTCCACTATTTTACAATCCCGACATTCTTGTGGGGGGGGGGAAGTAATTTTTAATAAATCCATGTATCACTCTAATATCAGATACCTTAATGATCTTATTAATGAAGAAGGTTTGTTCCTGACTTATGAATCTGTTTGTGATATTTATCCTCAAGTGAAAATTAATTTTTTAGAAAACATGAGTGTTATAAGTGCTCTTAAGGCATGGATGAAAAAAGTTAATTTTGAAGAAAATGTTACTAAACCACAAAACCCTCTGGTTATGTCAAATATATATACCCTTCTAGAATGCAAAAAATCAAGACAATTTTATAGTACAGAACCTACTGGTAAAAGAAAGTGGAATGAAACATTTGAATTGAATGACAAAGAATGGAAAATGATTTTTAAATTGCCTTTTAAAGTTACAAATAATTGTAAACTGCAATGGCTTCAGTATCGAATTTTGAACAGAATTTTAGCTTCAAACACATATTTAAAATCAAAATCACAGAAAATAAGAATTGTACATTCTATCAGGTGGAAGAAGAAACAATTGAACATTTGCTTTGGGAGTGTGATAGTGTACAGCATTTTTAAAGAGAATTTGAAGATTACTTTGAAAATAAAACTAATCTTCAAATATCAATAACAAAAAATGATTTTATTTTTGGGTTCTTGGATAAAAAGAAAAAGATACCAAATAATCTTTTTCTATGGCTTAAATATTATATCTACACAATCAGGTGCACAGGGAAGACACTTAATGTAACTTCTGCGATATCGCTTATGAATACATTTTATGAAAGACAAAAATATATTGCTTATAATAAAGGTGAAAAGGATATGTTTGACACCTGCTGGAACTGTTGGAATCAATTATTTCAGTGACTCTTACAGATATATATATGTTTATATTTTATGAATGCATGCAACCCTTTTTTTTCTCCTCCTCCAACTCTTTCTCTCTCCTCTCTCTCTCTCTCTAAAATAAAAAAACCTATACCTTCTGTAAATTCTTTTAAACATATGTTGTATGAAATAGCAGAATGTGTAAAACAAAAATAAAGAATTATAAAAAAAAAAATATTTTAAAAAAATATTTTTTTTCTTATTTTTGCTCACCTGGGCTAAATGCTTAAATAAGTATTTCTTAAAAACTGATGAAAGTGTTCTACATAAAGTTACATCTCTATACAGTTTAAAACATGGCATATTTAAAGTGGTTGTTCACTTAGTAGGAATGAAAAAAAAACGATTTAACACAAAAGCTTTTCAAATGATTTTGACCAAATTCAGTTCTATCAATATTTAAAAAGAATAGGAGTTTTTTAAAGCACAGAAACAGCTCGTTCCTAGATCTATGATAATTACATTTTTCTTTTTAGCTCAAGTGAGCTTTTCTGATCAAAGAGTGTCCGGCGTCCGTCTGTCGTGTGTCGTCTGTAATTTTTTCACATTTTGACTTCTTCTCAAGAACCATTGGACTAGTTTCAACCAATCTTGCCACAAAGCATCCTTGGGTGATGGGAATTTAAGTTTGTTCACAGGAAGTGTCACGCTTTCTTTCAAGGGAAGATAATTAAGAAAATGTGATGGCATCATTTAAAAATCTTCTTCTGAAGAGCCACTGGGCAAGAAAAGATGAAACTTATGTGAAAGCTTTATTATATACTCTAAATACAAGTTTGTTCATATCATAACCCCCGGCATGCGCGGATCTAGAGGGGGTCGGGGGGGGGGGGCGGACCCCCCCCCTGGAATTTGCAGAGTTACAAAGTGAATATACTAAACCAACTAAAAGTGACCATGGACCCCCCACCCCCACCCCACCCCCACCCCCCAGAAAGCACGGACCCCCCCCCCCTCGAAAACGCGGATCTGTATTAAGTTGGTCTGAAAAGTCATAGGTATGAAGCTCTAGAAGTAAACGACTACAAGAAATTTCTTGGTTTGATTTTTTTATGACTGGGAAAAATTCCTGGATCCGCGCCTGCCCGGGGAAAGGAGCCACAAGAAGGGGTCAAAGTTTTACATACATAGTAATACAAAGGAAATGTCTTTAAAAAAAATTCTTCTCGAGAACAGCATAAGTCAAATTATTTTAGAAGTATCCTCAGGTAGTGTAGATTCAAGTTTGTTCCAATCATATGACCCTTGGGGGTAGGGCAGGGCCACAACAGGGGTCAAAATTTACCATAGGAATATATAGGAAATCTTCTCAAGAACAGCTAAGCCGTTAGAAGTCATATTAATACAGAAGTATCCTCAGGTAGTGTAGATACAAGTTTGTTCAAATCATGACTCCCGGGAGTAGGACGGGGCCACAACAGTTGGTCAAAGTTTAACATAGGAATATATGGGAAATGATTTTAAATATCTTCTTCTCAAGAACAACTAAGCCATTATTAGTCATATCTATACAGAAGCAACCTTTGGTATTGCAGAATCAAGTTTGTTCAAATTATGACCCCAATGGGTTAGGGGAGCACAACAGAGGGTCAAAGTTTTACGTAAGAATATATAGGAATCATCTTGAAAAAAAATTCTGCTCAAGAACAGCAAAGCCATGATTAGTCATATTATTATAGAAGCATCCTCAGGCAATGTAGATTCAATTTGTTCAAACTAAGGGTGGGTAGGGTGGGAACACAATGAGCGATCAGAGTTTTACATAGGAATACATAGGGGAAAAAATCTTTAAAATTCTTCTGCTCAAGAACAGCAAAGCCAGAATTAGTAATATTAATATGGAAGCATCCTGATATAGTGTAAATTAATCCCCCCCCCCTTCCCTTAAACTTTTCAATAATGGACTTATTTCTTCTTTTTCCTAGCCAATGCGTTCAGGTGAGCGATGTGGCACATTGACCTCTTGTTTCACCTCTGTAAAACAAACGACAAAGAAAAAAAACTCTATTCTGTTTTAAAAATTATTATAATATTCGTAAAATTACATTTCATAGCATAGAATTGCAAATACCGGTAAGACAGGCGTTTTCCATCGATGGATGTGTATTGAAATCGGGCTCGGTGTTCAATTTGCTCACTTACACTCGATTTCCGACTACTTTCCATTTGCCTGATTGTAATTGTAATTATGTAAACACTGAAATTTAGATCATGGAAGCTGACGGTATAGTAATATCTCTTCCCGTGGATTTCCTTCATGAGGCATTGAAATCCGGTTTTAAAAATATCCGATGGACCTGTCTTTTTAATACTCATTCCTGTGATATTGAAACGAGAGTGCAGAAGACAAATTCTCATGAAAGGACACTACGTTTGTCTGTAAATAAATCAGGAAAGCGATTCGACTTTTCGAATGCCTTGGAAATAAACATTACTGACATTCACATAAATGATCATCAAGTCAACAAACATCAAGGATGTCACATGAACATAGAGTTGTCAAATCTTTCAGGTTCTATTTCTCCAGATACCCCAAACCAGAATCTAAAGAGAAAGCGAGGTAGGCCAAGAAAGTCTGCTTCAGATGAAGGAAAACAGAACATTGTGCCACTGGAAACAGAAGGCAAGAGGTACAGTTTACGTGGAGTGAAGATTTCAGAGTCAATTATGAATGCAGAAAAGGGGATCGAGAGTAATGGAAATGGCAGAGACAGCAATGTGACCCTCTCATCAGCTCACAATCAGAGTGAAGACACAGTGGATGCTTTAGATCATACAGCTGTTGACACTGAAGACCTTAATGCCTTGAAAATATTTGAAAGTGAGGAGGATTTAAGATTAACTGCAAAGGGAAGTGTAAGCAGTGAATCTAAAATTGAAGACCTACACAATATCAATCAGAACAAATCAGTTGTTCAAGGATTTTCTGATCAACTTTCCAGTAAACCTTCAAAGTCTTGTGATTCAAGGAAGATTACAAACAAACTAACACATGAGAGCAATGAAAAAACACAAAATTATGTTGAAGGTCATAATGATTTTTCCAAGTCTAAACCTTATATCTGTCATAGATGTGAAAAGTCTTACAAGAATTTTCAAACCTTGAGAAATCATATCAGATATGTGCACAGAATAACAGGCCAACAAAATCACTGCAAACTTTGTCCTGCCAAGTTCAAACATTTATCCGTGTTAAAACAACACTGTGATGAAATCCATAGCAAGAAAATTAACTTTACATGTACAATATGCAAAAAGGACTTTGCTAGAAAGAATCAATACAACAGACACATGCTTTCTCATGGTGGTGATAAATCAAAACTTTTAAATTGTCCACACTGTGAGAAGGGATTTTGGTTTAGATACAACCTTACAAGACATATTGAATTAGTACATAAGCCATCTGCAGAGAACTTCCATTGTTCCTACTGTGGAAAGGGTTTCAATCTCAAGGCAGCCATGGTTTCTCATGTACAACATGTTCACTTTAATATTTTTCCATTCCAGTGCAGTGTTGATGGTTGTAAGATGGGGTTTTCTCGGCAGAAACTGCTTATGGAACACATGCAGCAGTCACATGCTGATGTAACGTATAAACCACCACAGTTATCCAGAGGAAGATACAAGTACGGTAGAAGTGATGAAGATTTGTTTTTCTGTTCTCACTGCAGAGTGAGCTTCTGTTACAAAGCCAAACTAGTTGAGCACATGCACTTTGCTCACAATGACTCCTTCCCTTACATCTGTGATCAATGTTCACAAGGATTTGTGGAGAAATCTTTCTTGTTACATCATCTCAAGTATGCCCACAACCAGAATATAGAGAACAAAGAAATCGAGCAAGCAAAAGAAACCGTAGAAGATATGGAAGAATTGACAGAGATAGAAAAAAGGGATGTCAATTGTAAGATTATAATGGTGGATGAGGCAGGAGAAGTCCTTCAGATCTGTCAACCAATTGCCAAAGACACGACTGCTACATTAGAGGTACCTCTTTATTAATTTATTAGTCATATTAATGCTATGCAGGGTTGTTCCTAAGACCTGGGGGCTGGTGATTTTCCCTGTCTATAATGATGTGATCCCCAATTATTTTGGTATGCCTCCTAAACTTCCCATTAGGAGAGGAACCCTGGATCCCTCTATATTTTTTAATGTCCCCTTCTATTTCAATTTTTAGGGACAAACCTGCTATGATATATTAATCAGTTTACCTCAGTTGGGCTCAAAGTATGCATTTATTATATATAGTTTAATATACAGTAATTGAATTTATTATGTTTACTTTTCAGATGCCAGGGACATTAACAAATACTGAAGAAACTGTCACTTTGTCATATTCCATGACATCTGATAATCAGGAGGGAACAGTACAGTATATAATTCAACCTGACTCTGATCAAACAGCAGTTATCCCACAGGAAATTGCAGACATTCTTCTGTCTGGTGGCCAAACAATAATCACTCATCAAGCCAACAAGGACTCAGAAACTAGTGACATCACACACGAAAGTGAACATGATGACATCACTGACTCGGCAGACAGTACAGACTTTGTTGTTGTAAGTGATCAGATAGAATGAGTCAATGAAAATTTTCAAACAAATGCTGCATCTACTGATGAAAAACAAAATGGAACTCGACACGATCCCAAGCAGTCTGGGTGCAACACAAGGAGCCTCTTGTATCACAGTGGACAACAGTAATATAGAATTGGAACAATATCAATAACAGTTAATGAATATTCATGATCCTGTTACATTATTTCAGTGAAATAAATTTGAGAAGTCTTATAGTTACTTTTTCTAGGTAGGTAGTCAATCTTCTGGAAGAAAGGAATACTTTTGTGTAAATTAATTAATAATTAATTTGGATCACCCTTTGCTAAGTTGAGAAGCTTTATAGAAGATATCACTGGTAGATATTTTCATTATTATCTCGCTCTCTCAGGTGACCTTTTGCTATCTGTTTTTATCTGTTGTCAGTATGTTGTGAGTTATCATTTGAACATTTTAAGCTTCTTCCTGAAAATGCTGAACCAATTTTGGCATATAGCATCTCTGGATGTAGGGGAAAATAAATTATTAATTTCATGGCCTGAGGGGTGGGACCAAAACCATCAAAATTAATGCAATCTTCAAATGTCTTCTTCACTGCTGGACATCAAGGAGTTAAGTTGTTGGTATAAATGTAATAAGCATTTAGCCCTCAACTAAAATTATGAAATTCATGGCCCAAGGGTCAGTGGTTCTGGTGTTAGGGTGGAGCTCTATTGGTCATATACTAAAAAATGCATCTCTATTGATCATATACTAAAAGTGCATAAGTTCTTTTAAAAACTTTTTTCCTCCCCCTGAATATATAGCAGACAGACAAAGTGCATAATTATTATGAGCAAGGGTGGTTCTTCCAAAGTTTTGAAATTTGTGGCCTTGTCAGGAGTTCTAGTGTTAAAGAGGGGTGGGGCTATATGGATCAAATAGTGAAAATGCATTAATTCTTTGAAAATCTCTCTGCTCCTGGGTGTTACTCAGACAAACGAAGTGTATGGTTATGTTGAGCAATGTTGCTTCTTCCTAAATTGTGAGTTTCATGGCCCCAGGATCAGAGATTCTAGAGTTAGGTGAGGTTTATTGATCATATAGTGAAAATGCATTAATTCTTTGAAAATCTTCTTATCTGGTCATGTGCATGGCGCAATGGTTAGAGTGTGAAGATAAGAAATGCCTGCCATATTGAATTTTTAAATTTTTGGCCTGAGAAACTATTAATTATTACAGGAATTTTTTGATAGATTTATACTTTCATGGTTTTTAATAGTCAGGTAGATGTATATAATATTATAGATGAATGAAAATGAAACAAAATCATATGTATGTACATTAAATTTTATTCAAAAACCAAGGGAAGCCAGTGGGGATCCTGCTGAGTTTATTATTTAAATACTGTGTGTTTTTGCTAAAGCACAATTGTCTTGTAACATTTGTTGATAGTAATAGAGTGTAAAATAGCACTGGTTGGGCAAGTTTCTGAGTTGTTACCAATCACCAGACTAACTATTTAGTTGATCCCTGATCATCCTATTTCTCTTGTTTTTAAACTTCAGTCTGTGTCATTATATATTCAATCCTTAACAGAGTTGTATTATACTCAGGTGACCATTAAGGCCCATGGGCCTCGTCATTAATAAAAAGGGGGAGGGGGATTAGTGCCAGTTCCTACTTGTTCCCAAAGTTATTTGAGAAATCCACCCAAAAAAACTGATCACTTAATGATTACAACAGATAACTTCCTTACATATGATCAAAATTTATGATAGAGACAAAGAATTCCTCAAAAAATTGAGATACATTGGACTATATAAGACCATCTGAAGATATACTGTTTAGAGTGTAATAAGTATGTACATCTGACATAAACTAAATACCATTTCATTTTAAAATAAAAAGAAAATCAAAACGGAGCAACAGTTTATTTTGCGACACATTAAAAGCAGCCATAAGTTAAAGTCATCAACAATTCCTGCATATAATCAGATACCACAACACAGCAGCCCGATATACATAAATCTGTATAAATAAGTAAACTGGCAGTTTGACATGAAGCTGTGTGGGATTTCATCAAGCAATGGTATAAACTTTGGGTACAGATAATTCCCTTGGTTAGGATCATGTGACATCAAGATCAGCCAATCCTAGGTTATTCGGGTCTTTCCAGGCCCACACTAAACAGTAATGGCCTAAAAGCTGCTCCAGAAGTTCTTTTTCATCCATGAATTCTAACTTCTCTATCCTGCAGAAAGAATGAGCAAATTTAAAGCTTTTAAATGAACCTGCTAAAGAAATACATGTACTTTCAATCTATCAGCTACAATTTTTAGCTCACCTGAGCCAAAGGCTCAAGTGAGC